TCATTGATTATTGGTCAATCTCTTTATAGGTCATAGATGATAAACTTCCTCCATTTTCATGGGAAAGGAAGTTGAACAGTCAAGCAAAGATTCCTTCCGAGTTCAAACTGACTAAACGAGATCATCTTCATATGGTAATATCACCATTCTCTCACTCTACGATTCTTCGATCAAAGAAACAGATTTTTATATGAAGAAATCTTTTTCTTGGAGTACAAGTTATGATTTAGGTCAGATGCTCTGTTCTTAGGAAATTGAAAAAGTAAACCTCTCTTTGTCTCTGTTTTGGCTTTTGCACAGTTTCCATTAGGCTACAGATTGTGGCGTCACACCAAAGAAGAAGCCTCAAAAGGAAGAGTAAGGCATATCTCTCACTGAGTTTTATGCTCACAAACATTTGATGACTTTTGTTTTCATCAAATGCTGAAAACTTCCCAAAACCTGCAGGCTTCGATCTTTGACATCTTCAGAAAACACCATATAACAGGAGATCATGGCGTTCCTTTAGGGGGAATTGGGTATGGGATCCACATATGCTTCACAGACACCATAGAACACAAGACAACAATGCTCTAAAGTTTTAAGATCCTTCTGTTGCAATGTTTCAGTGCAGGAAGCATTGGAAGGAGTTACAAGGGTGAGTTTCAACAGTTCAAGTTATTTCCAAAGGTTTGTGAGGAAGCTCCAATCCTCACAAACCAATTCTCTGTAAGTAAAACAATCATGAACATTGCTTAGTCTCTTCTGTTGTAAAACCATTTCTTGTGTCTGTGGTGGCTTTGTGAAGTATCCCTCTCCTACTTCTTGATCTGTTTAAATCTTAGGTTTTTGTTTCTCGCCCGGGCGGAGTGAAACACTCAACTGTTCTATGCCCAACAAAGCCAGAAGTGATTAAGTAAGCCAAATCCAATATTTTCTTGCGTCTTCATCAGATCATTACTTAAAGAAACAGAGTGAATGTGCCAATGATCTTTAATTATGTTATTGTATACGATTGTGCAGGGACAATGGAGGATATTTGTGCAGAGGTGATGCTCCAAATATAGGAATTGAGTCTTGGGACTGGAATATGACAGGGGAAAATTCCACCTACCATGCTCTGTATCCGCGGTCGTGGACAGTCTACAATGGTATACTATTCGTCCTAAATGTTTCTAACCATGTGCATTACAGAATAATATATTGCAAATTCTTGATTTATAAAGGTTACGACAAAAATTATTCACTTGATGAACAGGTGAACCTGACCCTGAACTCAGAATAGTTTCTCGTCAAGTCTCTCCCTTTATACCTCATAATTACAAGGAAACCAGTCTTCCGGTTTCGGTTTTCAACTTCACGGTATGAATATTCTACGAAGTTTACATCAACGTTACAACTTAGGCAAACAACTTGTGGTGAGATGATTGAGTTCTGCAATGTTTCAGGTGACTAATACTGGAAAAGAACAAGCAGTTGTTACTTTGCTTTTTACTTGGGAGGTAAGTAATCTCAATACATAACAAATGTGCTCTTGTTCATCTCATTTAAGAACCTTTTGGGAGATTGGTTTCTTCTGCTTATATTCACTCTGTAAATGGTCTATTTGTCTCTGTTTTTATTTAGAATTCTGTGGGAGGAGCTTCTGGGTTAACTGGACAGCACTTAAACTCAACAATGATGTAAGAAATCTCCATCTAATGCTGCAACAGATTTTGCTATGTGCTTATTTTACTGAAAATGGATCTTGTTTCTTTTATGGAATCTTCTAGGGCAAGAGATGGAGTTCATGCAGTAGCTTTACAACACAAGTAAGACCACTTTCTCTGACTCTTTTGATTGCATTAGTGTTGGTTAATGGGTTATTGGAAGATTTGGTGTTGATAATTGCTAAACTTGCAGGACAGCAAATGGACACCCACCAGTAACATACGCAATTGCAGCAAAAGAAACAGAGGATGTTCGTGTCTCCTCTTGCCCTTCTTTCTTAGTTTCGGGTACAAGTCCTAACAAAATCACAGCAGGAGATATGTGGGATGAGATTAAAAAGGTTAGACTTCTTCTGTAACTAATATCTTTCAAGTGTTTTGTCATCACTATTAGAAGAAAGATCAAAAGTTTAAAAAGCTTTTCGTTTCTCTTTTTCTCCGCTTTTAGAACGCATCATTCGACAAGTTAACTAGTAATACATGCTCTCCATCGAAACCTGGAACTTCCATTGGAGCAGCCATAGCAGCAAAGGTTAAAGTTCCACCAGGTTGTGACCGTACAGTCACTTTCTCGCTCTCTTGGGATTGTCCTGAGGCTAGATTCGACGAGAAAACTTACCATAGGTATGCGTGTGTGTGAGTGTTACTTTATTAGACTTCAATCCAAATATTGTTTCTAACTTTGGAAAAACTTCTACTCATAGACGATACACAAGATTCTATGGCGGTTTAGGAAATGCAGCAGTAGCAATGGCTCGTGACGCTCTTCTCAGTAAGCAAACGATTTACCATTTTCTTTTTCCCCTGCCTCTACTTAAACTAAGAGATTATCTATCTCATGATACTCTCTCTCTTGTTCTTAGACTTTTCTGAGTGGGAGACTCAAATTGAAGAGTGGCAAGCTCCTATTCTTGCTGACACTACACTTCCTGAGTGGTAATAACTTTTGCTTCAAGCCTTTTTCTCTTCTTTCCCGAATTGAATTGAGCTCAAGAAATTAATCTAAAATCGTTTTTTTAGGTATCGAATAACTCTCTTCAACGAACTATACTATTTCAACTCAGGAGGAACCATTTGGACAGGTAACAAACATTTGATTCTTCCACAAACATATTGTTCTCCAACTTTCAATCTCCTTAACCCGATTTCTTGATCTTGTTTTTCGGTTTTTAAGTAGATGGGTTACCTCCGAAGCAAAGCCTAGATAGTATGGGAAGAAGAAAGATCTCTCTCAGTATATCAACCCTAGACAATACTACTGATTCAGACCAGCACAATATAGCCTTAGACATCTTGGGAAGAATCGATGCGGTCTGCTCTCAGATCCACGCTCCTTTATCCTCAAATGCTGCGCTCGGAACCACTATGATTCAAAACACCGAAGAGAACATAGGACAGTTTCTTTACCTAGAAGGGATTCAGTATCTAATGTACAACACCTACGATGTTCATTTCTACTCCTCTTTCGCATTGCTCATGCTATTTCCAAAACTCGAACTAAGCATCCAGAGAGATTTCGCGGCAGCGGTTCTGATGCACGATTCTAGTAAGAAACAGGTCATGAGCTCAGGAGAATTCGTTACTAGAAAAGTTCTTGGGGCGGTTCCTCACGATATCGGTTTGAACGATCCATGGTTTGAAGTAAATGCTTATAACTTGTTCAACACGGATAGGTGGAAAGACTTGAACTCCAAGTTTGTTCTTCAAGTTTACAGAGACGTGGTTGCCACCGGTGACCTAAACTTTGCCAAAGCGGTTTGGCCTTCGGTTTACACCGCCATTGCTTACTTGGACCAGTTTGATAAGGACGGAGACGGAATGATCGAGAACGAAGGGTTTCCGGATCAGACTTACGACGCTTGGTCTTGTTCGGGCGTAAGCGCTTACTGCGGAGGTCTATGGGTCGCGGCTCTTCAGGCCGGCTCTGCGTTGGCCCGGGAAGTTGGGGACAATAATGCATCAGTATATTTCAACGCCAAGTATGAGAAAGCGAGAAGCGTGTACGAAAAGCTATGGAATGGTTCTTATTTCAATTACGACAATAGTCGAAGCGGCTCAAGCTCATCAATCTTGGCTGATCAATTGGCTGGACAATGGTATGCGAGAGCTTGTGGATTGAAGCCGATAGCGAAAGAAGAGTGGATAAAGAAGGCGTTGGAGACGGTCTACGACTTCAATGTGATGAAAGTGAAAGAAGGGACGCGTGGCGCTGTGAATGGGATGTCACCTGATGGACGAGTAGACACAAGCACAATGGTTTCGAGGGAGGTTTGGGCCGGGACTACATACTCAGTTGCGGCTTGTATGATTCAAGAAGGGCTCGCGGAGAAAGGGTTTAGGACAGCAAGTGGAATCTATGAGGCCGCTTGGTCCGACCGGGGTCTCGGGTAAAGCTCATCTCGAGATTAGTTCCTTTTCTTTTGTTAGTTCATAGTGTTCGGTTTTAACATTTTTTTTGTTGTTGTAGCTGCTCGTTCCAGACCCCAGAAGCTTGGAACACGAACGACGAGTATAGGTCACTTTGTTACATGAGACCGTTAGCTATATGGGGGATACAGTGGGCACACACAATGCCACAAGTTGATAGAGAACAAGAACAATCGTTTAGGCCTCGAGAGGAAGAAGAAACGTCTGTGTTGTTTCAGCAACATGCCGGGTTTATCAAAGTGGCTCACTATCTGAAAACCACCAAAGGGAAAGACCATAAAAACCGACTCCAGACCGCGTACGAGACCTTCCTCAGGTTACTCCGCCTATAGACCAGATACCCTAAGGTCCAGTTTCTGGTCAGATCTGCGTAGCTTTTTTGTTTCTTTTACGGCTGTTACTAGCCTCTTCTTTTTGCATGTGGTTGATCTAATTGTTGGATATTATTTCTTCATAAATTGTAGACAGAATCAAATGTTAATAAACATGCAATAGCAAATGTTTAAGATCCAATTTGCGATTCTTTATTTCATATTTTGAAAGTTCTCTCAAATTTACTACTGAACTTTGCGACGACGAATACAAAACATTTGAAGCAAGAAAGATCACAACTTTAAATTTTAGAAATAACGTAAACAATAGCAGCAGTACAAAAATACAAAAGAACAAATTAGGGTGGAACTCAGATAACTTTTTAGATCCAGCGATAATAAGAAGAAATATCAAAAGACCGTACGGAACTACAGAGACTGTCTATATAGATCAGGATGAGCAGTTTAGGAAATGCAAGTCTACTACTAATCTTGCAACACTCTTATGATCTCCTAACGAGGCGCATCACAAGCCTGGTCTGCATCGTACTGATTCAAGAGGCTAACCCGATTTTCACTGTGCTGTTCCTGGAGCAGCTGCGTAGCCTGTTGATTGAGTTGCAGACTGCTCATAGCCCGTCTGAGCAGGTGCAGTCTGGGAATAACCGGTTTGGCCAACAGGTGCAGCATACGATGACGCGTTTCCACCTCCATAGCTAGGATACTGAGACCCGTATCCGTAGTTCCCGTTGCTCTGAGCCGGGGCATTACCGTAAGCAGGCTGTGTAGAAGGATATGAACTATAACCACTAGCTGGAGGTGCTTGCCCGTACCCAGCTGAAGTCTGCTGCACACCAGAAGCTGGCTGAACACCGTGCTGCTCATAAGCTGGGGCAATCGCGGGTGCTTGTGTATTGTTATAACCATCAGACGGTGCTGCAGAGCTGTACGAAGGGTAAGTTTGCTGACCAGGAGCAGTTGATGCGTAACCATACTGCTGTTGTGGAGCCATGTTTGTACCATAGGACGGCGCTGCTTGAGTTGGGCCTTGGTAAGGCACATCATTAGAAGGCGCTGCTGGCCTTGGAGGCCCATATCCTGGCTCGGCTGATCCTTGCATGCCGTAAGGTCTAGCTGGTTGCTGCATTTGGTGCTGACCACCTGCTGGTGGATAGCCTTGTTGGGAGCTTCCGTAACCTCCATAAGGTGGCTGCATTGGAGGGTTATCATAGTTTGGTTGATCATACATCTGCCCGTAGTTCTGCTGAGGACCTGCCTGGGAGTAAGGAGCACCGTGGGAGGAGGGCACAGGACTTGGGTTCTGAGATCCTTGCCTACCGTAATAATCGTATGGACCAGAATGCGGAGGTCTTTGTTCCCAACCTGAACCATATCCGCTTCTCGGAGGCATATGTTGTGGAGGGTAACCGCTGGAGTTTGGTGGTCTGTAATGTGAGTTCTGAGACGGGTACGGTCCACCATGGTGGTAATTGTATGGCATCGAGTGAGGCCCATGAGGACCACGCGAGCCCCATTGAGGTGGACCACCAGGTCCTCGGGGTTGGTAATTAGACTGGTTGTGACTACCAGAGTAATGTGATGGCCTCGTATCCTACAAAAGATACAACCATTAAACTTCCCATCAGGAACAACAAAGAGGACATAAAATCTCACACAACTGATAAAAAGAACAACACAGAAAGTATTGTGCAACAAAGCAGGTGAGGTTTATAACATATAATGAAATCTCTAAGTTCACAAGAGAATCCAAAAAGACGATATGTCTAAGAACAGAGCAAAGACAACACAGAATTTCATCAAAACAGGGCATAAGCAGATGGCATTCAGAGACGTGACACATGTTAAAAGTTATTGTATCATGCCATAAAAGTGATAACTTTACAAACAATTTAGCTGTCCAGAGCATTCCAAACTGTTTCAAATTGACCATAAAGCCTTGGCGTCAACTTAGTCCCATAGCCTATGTGAAACTGCAGTACAGGTTTGATATAAGAATTTAAAGCCGATCATTTACAGTATACACAATGGTCTCACCAGGCTCCCCTTTAGTAATTCCTGATCATCTGAGCTATCTAACACAACGGTACTGTAGTATATCCATGCTCACACTAAGGTCTTGAAGTTTTGAAAACACAAAAGCAGCCTTACCGACTACTAGAACCTGCAAGCGTGAATGACAAATGCCATATACCTTCCTCCGTAGACCTGGGTGATGTCTATTGTACACGAACAAGGCAATGCTGACCCCAATTGAAAGGTAATGGCCACATCTGCATTTTTAAAGCCAACACCAATTCGAGATCGACACTTTTAACTTTAAAAAATCATGGCAAGTGACATCGAGGACGCAACATATGATCTTCTTAAAAGGAGAAAGTGAGCATCTTTCTTACAATATGCACATAAGATATCCTTCTTATTGCAGCAGCATGAACCAAGTACTCTTTTAGGACATCAATTCACTAAATCAGGGGAGCCACCATCATAAATATGCACTAAACTTTTAAGACATCAAAGCTTTGGCATATATTCCAGAAGTAAAATCCATAGTCACATTCTCCCAACAAGATAAACCTAACGTGAATCAGTGATTAAGACAATGGACCTATAATTGATCATAGGCCACACGGTATTTTTACAGTGATTGCATGGACCAGAACATTAGCAAACAAAAAGTGTATATAAACTAAAACAGATAGCAGGAACACTGGAAAACACACAGATTGATCACCTCATTAACTATGTAGTTGCATTAGTGAAGATTAAGTCAAAAACAAACATCAGGATGTAATTAACGTATACCAGATAAAGCATGCAGATGAACGAAAGCGCAGCAAATAAACAAACACATGTTTCAAAAAACTCAAAGCAATAACATTAGAAGACAAACCTGGTACATAACATCCCTTATCAACGCGGTAGCTATATCAATCTGCCTTTTATCACCAGAAATACGAACAGTCCTTTCCTTAGATCCATCACCTTCTTCATGTGGTATTAGCTATATGAAAAGTATTTTTAATCAGAATAAGCAATACTGTCACCATTTTTCTCAGTACTCTTAAGACATTCAAGATTGAATAGAAGTAACTACCTGAATGCGTGCTCTTGACTTGGTCTGCATGTTCTTAATCGTCTCCCCACCTCGGCCAATAATCACGCCAACCTGTCCGTCGAAGATGGATTAGGTATCACTTGAAATGGTCAAGCAGAACAATTACCAGGGAATACCTTATCATTTGGAACTTTAATCTCTATCTGTTCTGGGACTCCCCTTACAAAAAGGGCAGGCACACCTCCTGCTTCAGTCTAGTATTGCAGCAGAAGAAGAAAAAGTAGCCAAATCTTAGGTCATTATAACAAAAAAAAGAGACAAACACTGATGTCAGAGACAGCTTAAAACCTCTGTTATAACTTGATTGATAAGCGTCTCTGCTTTATCAATAGCAGCAAGATTTCCAATTATCTCCACCGGTCTTAAAGGTGAATTTGGATCAGCTTCTGCATCCCTCCGAATCTGGATTTTGGCACCAGAATTGAGCTGAAGATGCCGTACCATCTCCCCGCCTTTCCCAATAAGTGTGCCAACCTGCCAAGTATGCGGAAACACACATAAATAAATAAGTAAACTCAGTAAGACTTAATTCACACAAGAGTCAAAAGGGAAACCAAATCAATCACCTTTGAACTTGGAACATCTATTCGGCGAGTTGTGGACTGGGTGTCGTCAACCTCCTTCCTAGAACTGCCACCATTTTCTTCTTTACTCTCCTCGCCAGTTTCTTCATGAGAACCACTGCCGTTTACTTCCTTACCAGTCTCCTTCTGAGTACCACCAGTAATTGCTTCCTTGCTTTCGTTGTCATCTTCCTTCTGAGAACCTCCTCCACCATTAGCTTCTTTGCTTTCGTTTTCAACTTCTTTCTGAGCAATGGTATCACTCGTTTCCTTACTACTGTCTTCAGTTTCCTTCTGAGAACCGCTAGTGTTCACCTCCTTATTTTCTTCAACAGAAACTCCCTGGGAAGTTCCAGCCTCAGACTTACTGATATCATCTACATCATCCATCTTATCTTCAGACTCCTCAGCATGATTGGGCTCCTGAACTTCCTCAGTTAGAGGATTAGCATCTTGGTTCTCATCTTTCTGCACAGTAGGTTCTCCAGTTCCTTCTTCTTTGTCTTCCTCAGGCCTCTCCTCCCCACTTTCCAGATTTTTCTCAATACCTACATCAAAATGCCGTAACACAGACCAATGAGAAGGCATGTTTCACAAAACAGACGGATTCCTTAAAAGCACAAAACAATAAATTTACTCCTAATATGTAACGTAATATAGTAATAGATACTTCAAAGTAACGAATCCAAAGATCAAACATGAAGACTTTCAGAGATGCATGACTAAAACAGAAAGCAAAAAGATCGCATCCGGGCAAATCTTTAGTTTGTTTGGTAACAAGCCAAAGGATCAGAGAATACCTAAATCATCGGTGGCCTCGCCGTCTAGCTTCGGTCGCTTCGCCTGAGAACTATCAGATGCTTCTTTGCCATCGTCTACAGAATCTTCGCCAATCGAGCCGGCATGTTGCTCGAGGAGCTCCGATTCGACATTCTCAAGCTTGCGCTTGAGGTCGGACGGCTTCACGGGGAAAGCAACAACCTCTTCCTCCGCCATGTGGTGAACGGGAAAAGCAAGAAACGCCTCTTTCGGTGGTGAAATCGGCGACCTGGAAACGTTAGGGCTTCGGAAACCAGTGAGTGTATGGAAGGACAGGAAAGTGAAACTTGTGAACTGGATTAAAAAGGGCTTTTGTGTAGTTCACCTCTCTATTTGGGCTTTTTACTGGGCCTGTCAGGCCTCATATTGTTTAGTTATTTCACATTCATGAGGCTGTGGTTAAACTTTAAGTTAGCAGTAGTGTTTGGTTCAGAAATGAGCCTTTTATAGCTGAACTGTGAAGTCAAACAGCAAATAATTTGTTTTGTAAGAAATAAAAACAGAAGTTTGAATCTTGTAAGTTCATTTCATTCTGATACGTTTTCTCTCCCTAGTTCTCGATTTTCTTTGTTATAATTCTCTTAATGTGTAACTTGGATTGATCTAATAGATTGTTGGATCTCCAAATTAAGACATTCTCAAAATCATTATAAGAAAATTTGTGAAATTCCACTTGACACTTAATCGTGTTTATTTTATTTTTTTGAAAAAGGTTTACTAAACTTGATCGTGTATTGCATTATTGTTTTGCTATATCCTGTGTTTGATTGATCTTGCTTTTTTATTGTGTCATTGATGACCGCGAGGTCAGGTCCGGCTCATAAGTTTAATTAAATGATCGGTTTACAGACTATAAAATATTTTATATATTCAATTATGATTGATATAGTATCAAAAATATTTATTTGTATATGACTAATTATGTATAAATAATAAAATAATAAAGATTTGATAATAAAAAAATAACGATAAATTAAATATAAAATATTATATATTTCAATAAAAAATGAAGAAAAAAATACTAACTAAGATTTTAAAATATTTTTTACGATAAAAATATAAATATGGTAACAAAAATAAACGGAAAAACATTAAAATATATAATAATTTATTTAATTTATTTAATTTTTATTTTTGGTCTGCATACATGTGCAAGTATAATTTTTTATAGACATAATTAGTTGTAATATTTAAGTATTGATTAATTTTCTTATACATTATGTAAATGTTATATTTTTATACATATACAATTTTAATGTTCAAAAACAATCACATAAACGTTTCATATCGTTTTGTGTCTTTTAAGAATTTTTTATTTTTCCTAGCGTTTACAGTAATATATAATTGCAAATGTAAAAGTTATATTAAATAATAATTAAATTCTTATAATATGTTTTGAATATATTCTATATAATACTTTCTTTTTCTCTTTACATAATATAGTTTTGCCAATATATATTTTAAGTATATATTTTTCCTTGACATATTGCTAATTAAAACCAAAATGAATTCTACCATATTTATATATCCTAAGAGCGGGTAGATGGTTGGCCCGCATATTCGTGCGTACCAACCACCTCACCGCTCTTAGGACATATAAATATTTTTTTAAAAATATAAATTGTCTAACAACTAAAATTAAAATTAGAGTGTAATCGAGGTTAACAAAATGTATACACAACAAGTTTGCATTCGAGTTTGACTTTTGCACAATTAATATTTATATCTACACGCGTATTTGTAAAAAAATTGAAGTATGACTTTTATGTGTTAAAAGAAAATAATAAAGTATATGTTTTGTAATATATATTTTTATATGTATGGTTGATTTAAAAAAACAATAATAATAAGTATATTTATGCATGTATGTATGAGTTAGAAATAAGTGAATTGTAATATTTAGGTGTTGGTAAGCATTTTCTGATATTTTTCGCAAAAGTTATGTTTTTAGACAATGCAGTTATTAGCGTTTAACAACAATCACGAAAACAATTTCTATAGTTTTGTATTTAATTAAAGTTTTTTATTTTTCAGTGTTTGATGATATATGGTTTCTCAATAAAAATTTATTATAAATTTTGTGAAATCATATTGTATACAATTATCTAGTAGCTCTCCATTCATCTCATCATCAAATTTTTTATAATCCACAATCGCTCGCTTCAACAAACTCTTCGTAACCGAATCGTTTAAACTAATCGGATCAAAACTTATATGTGTATGATTTAAGGTGTAAAATAATATATTTAATATTTGGTAGTTATTAAAAGTTAAGAGTTGATTTGTTCTTAACTTTAATATATTTGTTAATATAAAATATAATGGATCACAACATATACAAAACTTGATTCATGAATAATATTTTAATATGTTAGAAAAAATATATGCATTAAAGACTTAATATGTGTAAGATAATATTTTTAAATACTTCAAATAAAAACTTAAAATCAATCAAAACTATTCTTATTTATTTTTTTGTCTTCTTTGACTCATATTTTTTTTTAGCATTTAATAATATATTAAACATTAAGATCATCTCTAATGTATTTTTCTATTTTTTTATTAAAATATAAGTGGACTTCTCTCCAGCCTATTTCTATTTTACAGGAAAAAAAAAATTATTATTTTTTCCTCTGTAATTGGAATATAAAATAACAACCTTTCCTTTTTCTCCTAGATCAGATTTAAAATAAAGGTGGGTTGAAGATGCTTTAAACAAAATATATAGCCTGAGATTTTTACATAAAATCAAAGTCGTAAAGATTCATTTTTACTTTTACTTCTATTTTTTATTTATATATACAGTATTATAATAAAAAAAGTTAGCTACGGGATACTCATAATTTATTTTTCTATCTGTTTATTTTTTTGTTTCATTTATAATTTCGAATTCTTGCTTTGTAATGATAATTCATTCATATATGATACAAACTTTTCTTATTTAAAAATGAGATTCATTTAGTTTTAATTTAACTAATCAAAATATTTGGTTTATTTTAGAAAATTTGCTATGTCGCATTTATGAGGTGGCATTGTTTTGCATTGACTTTTGCTAAGATGATGACACATCAGATTTTTTATTAAACATGCTTCTAAAATAATAATTAAGATGGACTTTGTGCAATATTAATTTTTTTAACTAAAATTAATAGAATTTGCAAAAAAGAGTCGTAAAATTTTTCAAAATGAACCCTAAATTCTTACCAAATTCTATGAAAATTTATGTGGATTCTGTGTTAATACACCTAAGGCACATGCCTAAAATCGGGTCTGTGCGAGACGATAAGTGACCACAGACGACACGCAAGTTCAACAATTCCACAACTAAGACTATCTACAATGGTTGACAGTATCAACTCCTTACTTTACATTCCGGCTCTGATTGGTAACACTTGTAGAATGGTGGAATGGTGGAAAAACCCAAAAACGCAAAAATTTTGCCAATCAAAAAAATCTGCGGAAAAATACAAAAACGCAAAATCTGCGGAATTGCGTTTTTGCTTACAGAAAATACAAAAAAATCTTCATTAAGCGGAAAAACGTGTTTGGAGTAGATTATTTGCGGAATCAATGTTTATATTATTTAATTATATTTTATTATTTAAATAAATACAAATAAATAATTTAGTGTTACAAAAAATTATTTAATGATAAAGTTATATCTATTATTTAAGGTTTGCAATTTTTTTTTTATGAAAAACAAATTATTAAAAAGTTACAATTAGAATTATATCATTTTATAATAATTGATTGAATTATTAATACTTTATTTTTTATAATATATAGTAAAAAGTAAAATATTTTCAATAAGTATATTCTGCAATTCTGCAATTCCGCCATAATTTATCCAATCGTATTAAAAAAAATTCTGTAATTCTGCAATAAATTATTCCGCAATTCATTTTTTCCGCCATTCTGCAATTCCGCGATATGAAAAAAATGTGTTATCATCTCTCTTCCACCTCTTAATTCAACATCCACCTACATTTTATACTCTATAATTGTTTGTTTAAAAAAATTCAACATAGCCTAAGGTGATGAATGTTTGTATAATTTTTGGTTTTAGTTTTTTGGTTTCTAAATTTTGGTTTTTTTTTATTTTGTATAGATTTTGGTTTTTCTAAAAGCTTGAATGGTAATTTATACAGCTTTTGGTTTTAAGTATCTTTTGTTTTTTGTTTTAGTTAGGTTTATTAATTTCTTTTTTAGTCGATAAAAAAATATATTTAATTAATACGAAGTATTATTTTCCATAAAAAACAATAAATATTACTAAAAACTCTGAATAAAAATGAACATAAATTAGTTCATTATGAAAAATATATCTATTAGCAAAATTCTAGCATTTGATTGATTAGTTAGTGATGAAATATATATATTCTTTTAAATAGAAGAAAAAGAAAAAAAAAATTGGGCATCTGAAAACCCTTAAATTATGGTTTTTGGTTTTTATTCACAAAATCTGTAACAACTAGTTTCCCAAAAATTAAAAAAAAAATCTATTTCAACAAAAACTTGAATGGATAAAAAGGTAGTTTTTGAAAAATAAAATCCAAAAACTATTCTAAAAATTATAAACAGTTAATGCCTAGTTAATGATTCATCCAGTCATGTTAATTTTGACAAGAACATCAAAAGGTTTTGAAAACATAAACGCTTTCAATCCTTTCGGATACTGTCTTGATATGTTAGTGTTCTAACGAATAAGAGGGCTCATATAGAGTATGAATCAATATCGTGGCATATGTTTCTTTCTAGAAGACGAATTTCTCGTCCTATGTTCTTAGGTAATTTCCAAGCACGCAAGATTGTTCACCAAGGAATAATTAAACTGTGGGGGGAGAATATACATTCGATATAAACAATATACACAAATGTAAATTTAGAATTTTATTTGTTACTCTTCTCTTTCACAAAAAATGTCATTTTTTTTTATACATATTAAGATGAAATTTATATTTCATCTCTTATTCATAATAGTTATTAGTTCTATAATTTTAATGAAATTAAAAATCCAAAGCAAATCAATATTATTAATTTTATAATTTGAAAATCTATATTTAAATTCTGTGTTTTTGGTTATATGGAAATTCCTAGAGATATTTAGTCTTTTATATGGTATGGTTATAAAGCGTTTCTCGATTATTACTAAAAAAAATGATTCATTCAAAAACTTA